ACTGCAATGCTTCATATCTGCAGCAGCTTTTAAAGGCACTTCCGTCACGAGTCAGCAGCTCTATCTCTGTGGGTTTCCTCTGTTTGGACAGGGTCAGGTGACAGACTCTGCCAGATAATTGTGAATGAACAAGCCGGGTGCTCCGGGCATCTGTCTGTGTGTGTGTGTGTGTGTGTGTGTGTGTGTGTGTGTGTGTCTGTGTGTGTGTGTGTGTCTGTGCATGAGAATGTGCGTCTGCAGACACTTGCATGTGCATGGAGGGCCGTCCATTCATACATTCCTTCCTTCCACAGTAACCTGAGTCTGGGGGGGAGGGGTGGGAGCAGGAGGGGGCCCGTATAGAGAAGGTGGAGTCTCATTCACTCCTTCTGTGGCAACTCTCTCACCACATGTATGAAATAAATCAAGCAGGATGCATGACTCAACTCAGCGTTATGCACAGTCAACACAGACACAGAGAGAAAGCATGTAGGAAGAAGAGGAGGTGTGAAGTGAGGAAAGGAGAGAAAAACCCTTTCAAAACCCTGTGTGAAATTCATCTCAGTTTGTTAGGGACAAATCTTTTCTTCCAGGCTTTGTTGAAATTAACCACTTTCAGGTTTATATTCTAAAACGTGGGAAATTTTGTTTAACATGGTCACCTTCGGACATAAATGCAGTTTTTCACAATACTGCATTAAAACAACATAATTCTGTTTTCTACGGTGGTGGTTAATAAATTGATACCAATATTAAGACAAATAGTTTTCTTTACATGGACTCTGAAGACCAAACTCACCAAAGAGTTCAAAGAAATTTTCAAATATATTGATTGGACAGCCAAAGAGAGTCAGGAAAGAGAGGGAGAAGAGTGCAGGGAATGACATGCGTCAAAAGGTAGTGGCAGGAAGTCAAAGCCGTCACAGGTGCAACAAGGACTACACCTCTGCGCATGTAGTACATACTCAAAACAGGACATACAGTGACCTGTGTGTGTCCAACTGTCTTACTGCACAGTGCCGATTAAATCTCTTACCCCCAACGTCCACCACATGAAGAACGGCAGCAAAAAGCCCGTCTGCGCAGATCGCAGCTGATCGTTTCCATTCAAGTTAATGTGTCAAATTCCATGTTTCAGGCGGATCGTATTTCACACCATGCAAACGTGGGCGGGGACGAACAAGTCAAAGGTTTTCAGATGTTATTTCACAAAAGTGCCTGATCTAGTGGTGTGAACAGAGTGGATTTCCTCCTCTGGAAGGACACAATCTACTGCTTTTATTGTTATGTGGCAGTCTTTATAGAGACAAGTCGTTATCACGTGATTGCATGTGAATTCGTAGGTTCTTGTGAGTCCTTGTGATTCCCAACTGTCCGGAATTTGCCACGAAATTCGCCTCACAAACACATCAGGTAGGATTTGGCGTTCCGCAGCGGTGCTGCTCTGCATGTGGTGGAATTTGGGGGTTACTTTTTGAATCCTCTGTCTCTCACTGCATAAATGACATCATTTTTCCTGTAACGCATCAACATGTTGTAGTTGTAAGATGAAGGGAGAACAAACAGCACTCATTGGACCTAAAGAATGCAGCGCAGTTTAAATGTGGATCTGTGCGTTTGTGTCAGTGATCTTTTTGTCTGTTTCCTTGCTGTAATCAGAGACTCAGGTTTGCTTTGCAGTCAGAGAAAAACTGTGAGGCTTCAACACTGGGGAACATCAGGATTCATACCTATGATTGAAAACTAAAGTTTCACATCACAACATCCTTCCGTGCTCCGTGATTGTCTCGAGTCTTTTAGAGTCCAAAATCTCTGCAGTACATGCTGTTAAATAACGAGCTCAACATCACGGGTGCCCAAACAAAAGTGAAAACTCCCTTGAAGATCCAGAGAAATCCTGACTGTTCTCCTGAGAGGAACACACTGTGATGTTCTACAGAGAACCCACAATACACATAATGCTGGATCACACACGCACGGACGTACACAGCAGTCTCTACCCCTACCACCCACCTTCCCCTGTGTCTGGTTGCAGCCCTCCTCCATCCTGTGACCTGCAGGCATTTAACCCCTGACCTGCAGGGCCAATATTAACTCTTGTGTGATTGTTCGAGGGCAGCCGACTTCCCCTGAACCGGCCCTGAGAACATTCCTGCACCGCGTCGCTAGGAGAGCCTCGCTGTCACACCGCTGACCTCCTCTATGGCCAGGGTTACCCTTGATCTTCTATACACATACACACACACTGGAACTCACACACACAAAAGGACTCATGCACACACACATACAGACCCCCTTCCCCCCTGGTGGGTGCTGCTGGTCTGTTTCGGAGTTGAGGGCCACCCAGTCCGCCTGCTAGCCAATACACGCTACCATCAGTCAGTTAACACACAACACCTGCATTCATCAATACTGTCAAAGTCCGCGCACTGATTGAGATGTTTCCCATCTGTGAGAGCTCTTACCTGCATGCTGAGTGTCTCTGAGCTCCTGGTTGATGATGTGTCTCATCATCACTATAGGATGAGTTCAGGTTGAGGATCATACGAGTTCTTTCAACAAATTCTCTAAACTATCATTTTAACATTTTACTGTCCATATAATGAGATAACAGTACAGAGGCCTAACTTTTAAAGACACAGCAGCAATGAGAGGCGTGACTCTCATATGGATAAAAACTGAAACCCCAATACTGCTAAAATATGCAAAACCAAAATAAAGGAAGTTCAAGGGTGACTCTAGAAATATGAGGAAGCAGGAACTGGTCACAGGGAACACTGGAAAGTTTTTAGAAGGTCTGACCTGCTAGTTGACACGCTGGCCCAACCTTTTTTTCTTTCCTTTTAAATTTTAAAGTCTCATGAATGCAGAACTGGGCACTTCGAGTCTGCGCCACACATCTCCAGAGGGCAAGCTGCAACAAGTGCACACATGACATGTTACCATGCAGGTGAACACAGTCTCGGGTAAAGTGGCGGACACAACCTTGTGCAGCCCCAAAGTCATTTTGTGTTTTCCTTTGGCAAACAGCTGCAGTCTGTGATTATCCAGTGGATGTACCAATAACCGGGTAGCTGATATGTATAATCTGGTGTTGCTCCTCACCGGCATGACCGCAAAGAAACTTTTTTTTTACAGTATTGAATGTCATCCAGCTAATTTAAGTTGATATAGTTTTATGGTGCCAGTCTGTAAATGCCAGTGGGTCATTTGATTGTTGCGACACTATCGGGAGATAAGAAACACCATCATCTTCGATATAAAGATAAGAGTGACAGAAGGTACCGCTGATTATCTTCAGTGATTTGTCTGTTTCCATGTGGACAAGATGTCATGTGATCAGAGGAGAGGCTTCATTGGTCCAATTGTTGTCTGACAACAAAGATGTTACTGATAAATAAAATTAAAGAGTCGTGTTCCTGCTGCACCTGCAGTATGTAAGAGAACAAAGAGAGTTCAAAGCTCGTCTCTTTAAAAGTGAAAGTGGAAATTTACAGATTGCATAAGTCACTGACTCTGACCTTGGACCCCAACTTTTCTGTTTCCACTGCGGACAACTAAAGACCATCAGCTCCTGTTTTTATCTCGGGATTGTCAATGATTAATGTTGATGTGTTTAATTTTAGGGTTTTGTTGGTGGTTTTGATTAAACCAAAAAGACTGTTTTATTTCAAGACCCCAGAGCTCCCTACAAGGAGTGACACTAATAGGCTGGTATTGTGAAAAGCTAATTCCTGGTGACTTTTGTCCACAACATGGCAGTGGAGGTTTGATCATGAAAAATGAAGGACAAACTGATCCTGACGGTGGTATGCAGCCATTATAGGCAACCTGGTTTCACAAAAATATATTTAATTTAATTCAACTTTCTACGTTCAACCAGAACTCCTGCCAATAAGTCCGTTCCTGTTATATTTGTCTCACTCCGTGACAACACCTGTCCCTGGTTGCATTGTGCGAACATTTCCTCTATGTTATAAAAGCAGCAGTAAAGAAATACACCTGCTTTAGATGTGATTCAAAGTTTAAGGCAAATGTCATAAACCGAGCTGCTGCCATCACAACTAGTTGTGAATCAAAACATGGCACTGGATTATGCAGAGGATTTGACTGACCAGTGATGGTTGGCCAACAACTGGAAGATCTTGCTCTTGTGATAGACAGGCAGGTCAGGCCCAGATAAATGATAATATTATCTCACAATAAAGTACAGTGTGTTGCAGTATTGGGTAACACAATAATTTAATAAATGTTTTACAGACTCTCATTACTTTCACTTCCTGTATTTTTCTGTCGGTTAATTATGGTGTTTTTTGCACCAATCATACAAGAAACAAAGGGGAAGTAGAGACATGACCAAACAGTCATTGATACATTTTGTCTTACCTATTGAGGTAAATTTCAGTTGAGGCACGTGGGTTGTGTTTGCCTCTCTATGTCTGTGTTTGCTCTGCCTCCTGCTCTCACCTGCTGGTTTTCCCCCCACACAGTGCAGATGTCAAACACTTAAAGGGGGAAGTTAAACCACCTTAATACAACAGAAGAAACGCCCTCACCTCCTATCACTGCGGAGTGGCAGAGGAAGTTTGCTCAGGGCGTCGGCTACATCCTCATCTCACGGTTCAACAGGACGGGAGACACTGTGGGGCGTTACATAACACCTTTCAAAAAAAGATGAGGATGCTCCGCTAAACAAACAAGGAACTAACATCCCTCACTGGAAGTCTGATCTCCCCATAACCTACAACCAAGAGGAGGACTTGACCCAGAAATTCACTCTTTACACCTGCTGGACCATCTTTGAGTACACCTGTGTATAATGGTGCCACAGCATGTGATCAGGTTTTAATACCAAAGCCAGGAAAGATTTGTTGTTAACTACTAAGTGGGATAATAATGATAATAATGCATCAGATTTTTTAGTTCTATTTATCAGTGACCTCAAAGCGCTTTACATCAGATATATCATTCATGTGTACCATGTATAAATCTAAATTATTTTGATACCATCTTTTGAAGAATGCAGATATTTTCAATTGGGGTGCTGAACCTTTGGGGACAGTTTGGTGCTCCATGACCAGTTTTTATATTGTTTTTTTTGGTGGCAAGCACGATGGAAAGGAGCCAGAACCCCGGGTTGTCAAAACCATTCAGCGCAAAACTGGCAGGGTATGAGCGGCAAGTGCTTGTAACCAGATTACCTGAAAGGTGCTGATATGCTGCGCCACTGAACTACGTGGCACAGCACGTCAGCACGCGTGTATGTTGTGAGATAGAGAGAGGAGCGAACGGAGAGCCCTGCTTATCACAGGGGAGCAGAGAGATACATTTTTCTTGAAAGTAATGAAACGATTGCGAGCTTTAGAGTCTGAAATTGCACATATTATATTTTATAGGCTGTATTGATAAAAATAAAAAATAAACATAAATATTAATCTACGACTTCAATTTCAGGGTTGGGATCTTGTTGGCAGGGCGGGGGTATCCGTTGGCAGGGTGGGGCGCCCTGGTCAATACACTACAGGGGAAACACTGATATAGTATCTACTTTAAGAGACACTGGTTTATCTGTACTTTTTGATCAAACTTTACAATATATATAATGATGCTTTAATGCATTGGATGATCTCTAAATCTGAACACCAAACTTGACTGTGCAGCACAGCAGGTGGCCACTTAGTATTATACACAGCAGTAATATCACTTTGCACAGCTTCAACGAGAGTCACTTTTTGTTCACTATGTCCATCTGCACTGTATGTGTGTGCGTGTGTGTGCAGATGCTACAATACAGGGCTGGTTGCCATAATGTGATTGTACAAAGGCAGCAGCAGGATAGATTCTGGAGAACAATGGACCGGAGTCTGGTGGACGTGGACGCACGCACTAATATTTCATTTTAATTTAAACGATCACGAACAGTACAGACACTTCTGTCATGACGCGTGGTGAGATGTTTGGCGCACGTGTTGAACACTTGGTGCATTTTAACTGCAAAACTTCTCAACGTATCAAATCTAAACATCAGAGTGTACAGGAGCAAATGCATAAGCTACAGAAAAATATTAAATCAGTTTCTCTTTGTCCGTAAATAAATAAATTAACAGGATTGATACAACTAATGGTGAAAGGCATCCTAGTCTTGCATTATTGCATTATTGTTCATGATTAGATAAAAAAGGGCCTCCTCATTTTTTATTTATCTACAGAGCAGAAGGCATTTTAAACTGATTATTACAGCTATTAAGTTCACAGAAGTGTGAGAAATTGACCCTCTAATAGGTTAGCAATAAAGTTTTGATAAATTAAATATCTGAATTAACACATAATAAAAACGTATATAGAACATTTTGTTAGTTGTTGGTTGCTCTCCTTTGAGAAAAACCGAGGCAGATGTAAATCCATGTTAGTCTCTCCGTTTGTCACTCTCTTTCTTTGCCAACAGACCTTTTGCTGAATGGAAAGGCTTTTTCTCTTTAGTGGGATCCTCTTCTGCACCCCTTGGTCATTCCTTCGGGTTCTCTGACATGTTGCTTTTAGTTGCACTCTCCCTTCTCGTTGTCTAGTAAAACCCAGTAGAACGCATCATTTCCTGCGAGCCAGTGCAGGAATGTCGCCAAAGACACCAAATACAAAAAAAAAAAAATACTGCAAAATACTATGAGTTATATGAGTAGTCGAATGGGTTAATTAGCGTTGAACCATCTCCTTTTGTAGTGCCTTGGCTAAAACAGATATTTACGGACATGTAGTAGTTAACCACTTCTTTCTTGAATAGACTGATGCCCTCTATCAAATAATACTCCTACTTAGAGGATTCTGACTCATCACATTCACAGAGCTGTTTAGCAGTGAATCTAGTAAGTCAATAGAACATCATGTTTTTTTTCAGTCTACTTGTTTATTTGACAGAAGCAAATGTATGTGATATTTCTTTACAGTAATAATAATAATGCATCAGATTTCAAATAGCGATTTATCAGAGAGCCTCAAAGCGCTTTACATTGGATACATCATTCATTCGCTCACACAGTCAGACTGACAGAAACGTGGCTGCCATTTTGCACCTACAGCCTCTCCGACCACCACCACACAACACTCACAATCATACACCAGTGGAGTTCACACACTGGGAGCAAGGTGGGTTAAGTGTCTTGCCTAAGGGCACAATGGACAGACTCAGGATAGGGGGGAATCGAACCGCCAACCTTCCAGTTATTGGACGACCGCTCTACCTCCTGAGCTACTGCCGCCCCATAGTGCATCAACGTAGATGCCATGCATGCAGGTTTCAGTCCATGGCTCGTTTGCAACCTCAATAAATTAACAGAACTACAGAGTACTAGTAATAACAGTAATGATGTATCAGATTTTAAAGCACTTTTCATCATTGACCTCAAAGCACTTTACAGTGGATACATCATTCATTCGCTCACACAGTCACACCTTGGTGGCGGTTTGCTAGTTTGCGCCTGTGGCCTGTCCCACCACCACCACACGACACTCCCAATCATACACCAGTGGAAGACACACACTAGGAGCAAGGTGGGTTAAGTGTCTTGCCCAAGGACACAACAAACAGACTTGGAACAGGGGGGAATCACACCACCAACCTTCCAGTTATTGGACGACTGCTCTACCTCCTGAGCTACTGCTAAGGAAGGCCTCATGTCGTGAGGGTTCATGTGTGAACAGTAGAGTCAGGTAGATTTTCAGGTGTGAGCTCTGGAAATTCTCCAGAAAATTTCTAGGGTTTACGTCTGACATCAGCTGGGATGAGACTTCTTAGCTTTGTACTTTTGATTATATGAGTGTGTTAGTGCTTATACAGGTAATGTAACACAACCAAATGCTCTATTATAGATCCAGTTTCAGACAGTTTCATTATAGCGTTGACGGACTTTACTACCCTTGATTTACAGTATATGACAGACAAATACAGGCTCACCCTCCCACTCTTCAGACTGAACTAGTTGAGATGACAGGATTTCCAGGGACAATGGAGGGAAAATGATGAAAAAATGTGGCCATATGGAAGCTCTATAAACACACTCATGATTGAATCTTCAAAAGAGAGAGCCTGATGGTGATCTCCTGAACACATGGCTGATGATGGATCATACACTGATGATGTTTTCTGGCTGGTTTCACACTCTGTTCAGCTAATTGAGCTGCATCCTTCTGTCTGTGTATGTGTGTGTGTGTGTGTGTGTGTGACTGAGCGGCGTGAGGCTGCAGAGTCACTCACTTGTGAAAATGTGCACACGTACAATGTGCAGCCTGTCTGCCACCTGCTGCAGGTCTCATATCAAGGCATGCGGAGCTGTTATGCACACGCACAAGTACACACACACACCATGACAAACATGAGCAAAGACTCTGGTTGCACCCTCCTCATCGCTACACACCCCCACACTCGCCCCATCACTGCAGACAGCCCAAAATCTGCTTGACCGGTACCCCAATTAACCCTTTGACATTGTTTCTGTATAATAAGAGTATCTATGTGTGTGTGAGAGAGAGTGTGTGTGTGAGTGTGTGTCCTCAATCTGTCAATCAGGTGCATTTAGAGGCACATGCCCAGTGATGTGTGTGTGTTTTGGGGTACAGGTTTGTGGAAGATATTTAGGGACAATGGAAATGTTGGATTAGACAAATTCTGGACTTCCTTCTTTTGCTGCCCCCTTCACAAGATGTGTTTACTTTTTGTCCAAGACAGTTAACATGAAGATAAAAAGGACGCATGCACACACCTGGTTGATGCACACACTGTGTTAAAAATCGAAATAAGACTGCCGAGACCAACAAGGATTTTTAATGATTGTGCACAAATCTGAACTTCACTTTTGCTGCCGACCAGGTAACATTCAGTCAAATTTCTGCTCAGCTGGTCAGTTGTTGTCTGCTCCTGTGCTTGGGCGAGGTAACATCATATGTATGTATTGGCGTGGGTGTTGAATCTACACCTGCCAGACTCAATTTAAGGGACAGCTAACCAATGATGTCGAGTCAATCTCCTTCAGTTAGCCACCGCTCAAACTGCAGGTCTTCATTTGTAAAAAGCAGCAGCATCAGTGCAGCTGTGAGAGTGTGTGTGTGTATGTTATAATGAGTTGAGAAGCAGGTCAGCTCTGCAGGAAGACGGAGGCCTCCTGGTGAGCAGTGGTCACCACTTGGTGATGGCCACGCTTCAGGACACAAACGCACACACACAAGGAAGTTGATGAAGTGTATGCAATGAGGTCAGGGAGGTGTGTGGGAAGAGGAGGATGGCGTGAGAACACCAGGCGACAGGGAGGGAAAGCCCTCTTACTTTTTTCATGGATCCATATTGTTGTGCAGCAGTGACCGCAGGCTGGACACATGCCGGCCATTTGGACAACAGGTGGTCAGGCATGGTCCGCTGTGGTCAACAGACACTGCAAAGCCACTGTGAAGAACAAAGACATGGAAATTAAGTTTGGTGTTAGAGGAAACTTCAGCAAAGTTTGGATTTATCTGGATTTTGGCGCTTCCTGTACAAATACAATCCTGTTAATCCCCATCAATATGAGGTAGAACCATCAAGGGGTTTGACTGTACATCACACATGATGGCAGCATGTCCTCGATGTGCATTATTCAATCAGACATTTACAAGCTGCAAAACCATACAGTGGTTCAGGGGGTCCTGACTCCCTGTGTTTGCTGGACCTGGTCACATAATTAATCAAATATGTAAATAATATGTTAGAATTGTTATAAGTGGTATAAGTATAAGAGGTATAAGTACTTACAGGGTAACGCTTCCTTTGTTGCAGGACAGCAACATTAGTATTATCATCAGCATTATTATTGAGCTTCAACTTTCAGATCTTGAAATGTTTTCAGGCCGGTTGAGCTACATAATCCCAACCCCATGTCTTCTGGGTCCAGCAGGGGTTTTTCTACCTGTTGTTGGATCCAGAAAAAAAGAAAAAAAGGTCCACAGAAGGTGCCCAAGAATATTGGCTTGATGCTGACACCATCTCAACAAATTGTTGAGGATGCTAGAAAGAGGGGGTTTCACCAGACCTCCCTCTTGATGCTTGAACCCAAGTTCAGAAGCTCAGAAAAGAAAAACTTAACTTGCATCTGCGATCTTATTCTTTTGTTCACCGCCAAAATTTCTCACATTAATCCTGACACTGTACCAACCTGCTCGTCAAACTCAGAATCCACTTTACAATGAGCAAGACCATAGGTCTCTTGAACTCTTCAGCAAGAAACGGAGACTCCCTCTGTATTCTGGCAGAGAACCATGACCTTGGACTTGGAAGTGTTGATTACAACAAACGCAGTATTAGCAAATGATCACAGTCTGGTTCTACTCAAGGTTTCTGCCTGTTAAAGGGGACTTTTGTCTTGTCACTGTTACTCTCTAAATGTTGCTCATAGAAGATTTAGATGGAATCAGAGTGGGTTGGATCTTGCAAAATGGAACTCAATCTTATCTGGTCTCAATGTTGGGTCTTTACAATGGAAGAGTACGGTTAGACCAGCTCAATTTGTGGAGCGTCTTAAGATAACATTTGTTGTGAATTGGTGCTAAATAAGTAAAGATTGATTGATTGATTGATTGATTGATTGATTGATTGACTGACTGACTGACTGATTGATTGATTGATTGATTGATTGATTGATTGATTGATTGATTGATTGATTGATTGATTGATTGATTGATTGATTGATTGATTGATTGATTGATTCTCATCCTGGCTGCTTTGCATTGGGCTGCCAAGTGCCTCAAGGTAACAGTCTGATGTGTCAAACAGCGTGTTTTCAGTCACTGTTAATCTTTAAAACAAATTATCATTTGTTCTATTTCATTATCATTAACTAAGTCACTGGCAAATTTGTATACAAAGGTACAACTTAAATTACAACTTAAAAAGTTTCAACCAATCAGCAACCTTTGATGTGGAAGTGCTGTTCTTTAGATGCCCAATTAGACGCCAAAAAAGCCTGTTTTTGGGGCCATAAAAAACATGTTGAAAGCCTTGTTCAAACAGCAGTTTTGGTCTGAATGGTTCAGGACTCCCACAGCAGGAAAGGGAATTTTTTTTTGGAACACGTTCTTGTAGGTATGAAGGTATTAAGGGCAAGAGACTGGCAAATCAGGCACGAATCAGATTGATCAAAAGTTATATTGAGTCAGCGCTGTCAGTATAGTGACCGCTACTGATAGGCTTCAAAACTCTGCTTCAGGACCAAAGGAGTGACGTCATGCTACATACACTTATTATACAGTCTAAGGTTTCAAAGTATAATTTAGTGTGGACTTCACCCCTTAACTTAATGCATTACTGAACAGGCCCCATGTTTGTTGTTATTTGTTATCCTCTGTGAGAGCTAAAGGCCGCCTTTGTGCCTCATTTTAAGACACACAAACCTGTGGGCGCCAACATGGACACAAGCTGACTTGCTATTGACAAAATGAGGGTGCTGGGCATAAGTATGAGGACTGTGTTAGGTAGAGAAAACAAGGACACTTATGCTGTATACTAAGATAATTTACACAGGGTGTAGAATAAGGCTGTAGGAGGGGTAAAATAATAAACAGCATCACTGTTGATGAGCTGATAAAATTATCTCCACTCATGAAAAGTGGAAGGGAAAATACAGAACGGAAAAAAATATCCATTATTGTCAAGGTTGTGTTTTGATGTTAAGAAGATCGTGGTGATGCCAAACAGCCAATAAAAACTCTCAGCCGTGTCTTAGTCATGCTAAAAAATTGTAGGTTCTAAATTATGACCTAAATAAGAAAGGCTAAGTTTGACCTTAGGCAAAGCTGTTTAACGCATGCTACTGTTTCCGCTGTTAAAAAGCAATTTACAACTCTTTCGACGTCCATACCAGAGGCTCTGTCTCAGAGTCTCTGTGCTGCCAAAGACGTCTTGACTGCAGTTTAATGTCTTAAATGTACGTTTTGGAGATGTGTATGAATTTGTTTTGTTTGTGGTTGTTTTTAAGTTTTGAGAACTTTCTTCGAGGAGGCTAATGCAAACTGTTTTGGAAAAGAATCAACTTCACATTCGGTCCTCTGGAGAAAATCCACACAGCTAGTTGAGTTTCCAGGACATGGTCAGAAACGAACAGGTGCAAAATCAAGCTGCTGAATCAGATCATATATTATATAATTACACGTGTGGACTGGCCCGTGTGTGCGTGTGTGTGTGTATTTGTGTGTGTGAGAGACGTGCAGCAGTTTGCAGGCTGATGGGCCACGGCATTGTTGAGAGGGCAACTGTCCATTCTGCACTATTGTCTGGAAGAGCGCTACTGTCTGTGAGACAAAAGAAGCACCTGCCTGATCATCACAACACACACACACACACGCACTGTGGGCTGCCATGTGCCGGACACAAGGCCACTGTGTGCCCATAACCTCCCATGACACAGAGAAGGGGAGTGTGACATGGGGCTGCACGTAACACATGCTCAGTGTATGTGTGTGTGTGTGTGTGTGTGTGTGTGTGTGTGTGTGTGTGTGTGTGTGTGTGTGTGTGTGTGTTTGTGAGGGTTGGGGTTATAGATCTTGGCGCGAAGGATGGGGGGAGTGTGTGTGTTGGGGGTCACTTTGGCGGGAATATCAGGCTTGTTGGATTTACATCTGTTCAGCCGTGTGTCAGGCAGAGCGCCATGCACAAACACACACACACACACACACACACACACACACTCCCACCCACACCCACACACACATACATACACACTGATCATTTGTGAGCAAAAGAGAGGCATCATGTTGGCATGTGCCTGATTAACAGCAGGTCAGTTTGTCTTAGTGTGCATGTGTGTGTGTGTGTGTGTGTGTGTGTGTGTGTGTGTGTGTGTGTGTGTGTGTGTGTGTGTGTGTGTGTGTGTGTGTGTGTGTATGTGTGTGTGTGTGTTCAGAGCAGCGGAAGCGACACTGAAACACTTGTTGTACATCTGTCCGAGCAGCAGTACAGTGACAGAGCAGCTCTGTTGAAGAATACAGACACGGACAGACTCAGTCTCTGATTCTGCGCTCAAGTGCTGTCAGAAAAGTCGTCTTCTGTTTCTGACTCTGAAAGGTTTATTTAGATGTTAAAGAGGATCCCAGAATATATTTTAACACACCAAAGCCCACAACATTAATAATAATAATAAAATGGTCTTTCTTACCTGACTTTATTGAAGTTACTTAATGTATTTGCCAGACATGCTGACAGTGCATAATTGCTTAAAGGGATAAAGCCCTGACGAGTTGATCACCGAGTGCAGTGGAATAATTCCATGAAGTAATAATCATCATATTAATCATTTTGCACTACAGCAGTAGTTCTTCTGCCATAGCGTCTCAGTCTATTTGCATTTTCATAAAATAAATGTTCTTCCTTGAGCTGCGAAACTCTGCTGCACTCAGTGATGGACTCATTAGTGCTCCCCCCACGAACAAACGGCTGCTGGAAGAGAGTGGGTTAGTTGTTTTTGGTCTCTTTGCTAAAGAAATCATGCAAAGCCAAAAGATGTTTAATGGCTAGTACTATTGCTGGGACCCTCTATGTACTGTTGATGAAGTTAGGTGCTGTTCTGAGTGTTATTTGTGGCTATAGAGTGGCGTTTTGTGTGTGGAGTGATAGACCACTGTGTATTGCTATCGTGTGGTTGTTACTAAAGTTGGTATCACTAGAGAAGCAAGCAGTCGGCTACATTCATCTCTGGAGGGGGTGTCTAACTCGGTGTTATGGTGTGTTTGACCCTAACTTATTTTTAAGCCAGAATATCCCTTTAATGCATCTTTCAGAAGTGTTTGGCTCATTTGTTAAATGTATTTTCACTTTAATCTCTATAGGCGAGCTGAGATAGCTAGTCCTTTTGAACCTCATGATCTTGATCACTAAAAAGAGCCGGAATTCCCATCAATTGGATCTCCTGTGAGGTTGTTAACCTGAGAAAGATGAAGGATCCAAATCCTGCTCTCACATGGTACGATAGATCACAGACAACTTGAGGAAGAGCGTACAGCCTGTGGAGATTTGGAGTAATCTGTAGATTTTTATGGATATAACTTGTTTGATTAAAGTCTTAGACTGGACTTGGATCGCGGGGGACCCTCTTTGTCGCTGCAAGAGAAGCAGACTGTTGCACGTTCAACAGGGTTTAACATTAACTGTGTTAGTTTGCTGATCGTTTCTTCCATGTGAAATCTTTTGGGTTTTTGCAGCATATTTGTCCTTGTTGCCCAAAACTGCAGGTAACTCTCTGATGTGAGATTTGCTGGTGCAAGATTGTGGTTAAGGTGGGATATGTTAATAATCACTGTGAAACTGTTTCTCTCTCCCCTGATGTCACACTCTTTTGCCCACTGACGTGTTGGCTAGTCAGTGACTCTGAAGCTGTAGTAAAAGCATCTCATCACAGTATGGTAAAATAGGAGAGTGTCTCCACCAGGAGTTGACCTTTAGATCTCCTCCCGAGCCAAATCTGAACCCTTCCTGTGGTGAGTCAGACGTGTTTCTGCTTTAGCAGCTCTTTATAAAACCATTTATATCAAGCGAACAGAGGGAAACGCAGTGACTCTGGTTACCAGGTTGGACACATGGCCGAATGATACCTGTGTTATCTGTGTTTGTGAGGGAGTGCAAACAGTAACAGGCAAGTGATAAAGCAGCGGCGACTTTGAACAAGCAGCCAACTTCTCCCACGCTGCAGGCACGAAGATCAGACCAACGTCCGACAGTAAAGAGTGAACACAGAGAAAGAGAGGAAAGGTTCAGCACTCTTCCCAGAGTTCACCCAAAGAGGATCAGGGTGAATGGCTCAATCTCTGACTTCCCTGCAGTGTCCAGCCAGGCTTTAAGAATCACACCAGTGTTTTTACAACTGGACTTCAACTTGCAGCACATTCCCTTCACTGAGAGCTGCACAAGTGTTTTTCTTTGCAGATCACAATCTTTAAATCCCTGAATTATCTCTTTCTGTGTTTGATGTGGTCTGTTATGAAGCTGTAATATGATAAAGTTCTCATCTTATTCATTTTCCACAGCAAATATTCTCAGTGAGTTTAAAGTTTGACTATGTAAGGAAGCAGGAAGAGATTCCTTGTGTCTGAAAACTTGACTTTCAGATACACAGGACAAGATTAATAGAAGAGACAGGAGTCACGGCTTTGTCTACAGGGGGCGCTAAAAGAAAAACTAATTGAAAATTCCTCACAGGAGCTTTAATGTCCCAACAATAAAGACTGGCAAAGACTTGTTTTTAACGTTGTCATTTCCTCAACAATTCCTGTTCTGCATTCCAGGAATTGGCAGAGATCAAATTGACATGGTGCCCACAGTTTATAAAAGTACTAAATAAGTGCCAGCTGAGTATCAAAATATTCATATTATAGTATCACTAAAGCCTATTCCCACTGAGGACAGGGCGGCACGTGTCCCCCAGGCTCCTGGATCTTTCTCAGTGACTGATGTGCCCCCTCACTTGTGTAGATTCTAATCTTTTTAGTTCTCTCTGGTGAAGAGGTGAAAAAACTCTCACTGGGACAGTTGAGGCGCATTCTGCTCGATAACAAACTTTATGTTTCACAGCGTCAATCTGGGACAACATCAGACGATGAGATGCTCACCGGACTCACCTGTCCAACCAGCGTTTTGAAACTGCTCTGACAAAAAGATCTGAGAATTAGTTTCACACATGCAGTAGATTAAAACCTCAGAAAAGAGAGCTGTGTTTATTGAGATATGTCTAGTGCATGTGCATGTGTATCAGGGGTCTCCTTACTAGTGAAGCTCTGCACACACAGTGAAGGGTTGAATGAGGAACAGGGAGGGACAAGGTCGCTTTCAGTGGAGGGAGGAACTGGACACATAAATCCTCCAGCTTCTCTTTGATAAGGCTTCAATTCAGCAGGGATCATGTACCAGGCTAATCGCTGCCCGCCTCAGTCTCCCAGCCAACTCACATAACACACAACAATTACTCTTAATACAAATTCTTACTAAATTTAACTCAGCCCTGCCAAAAAATATAAAATCACACAGAAATTGAACTATTTATTCTCTAAATTCAGCACAAAGATCAACAGCGAGGCCGTACCCCCATAAAACTGACCATAGAAAACTTTACACACAATGAAAACACGCACTCGTTTCCACACATTCCTCTCCCCCCTCCTAAAATCAGGCCATTTCTGTCTTGAGATGTTCACACAATTTAGTCAAGCTAATGCGAGTGGACAGGCGCCCACTGCCGAGGCTGCCCCGCACAATATGCTTTAATTACACATTCACTAAATGCAAACATCTGAGCATGTTATCTGCTGCTCAGCTCTGCAGCCCCAGCGGGAAGGACAGGGGGTAGGGCTACACACTGCAATCTAGAGCCAAACTTTTCTACAAACTCTCATATTTGATGTTGAGTATCTTCCAGCTGAGAGGTTAGAGAATCAGCAGGTAATCTGCAGCAGGTTCCTCTTTAGTTAAGTTCTTTTTAAAACCGTTTTGTGCACTTCAAAATTGAAGTTTGAAACACAGGTTCGACTTTGTTTCAGATTTCCAACATTTGTAGTTTATTCTGAATATACCGACTCTCTGAAGTAGTTGTTTATCAATAAACTTTGAAATAAGTTCCTAATATTTCACTTTTTTGGGTCATACTCCCATTCTTTTTTGACATCATGCTCAAATGTTATTACTTACTAATGTGTTAAAGATTGTAGGTCATGAAACCTTGATGATCTGACAAACTGGTAATTTTATTTACTTTGAGCGGTGTTTACTACAGTCACACATGTCACTAGAAATGGCTGCACGGACCCTCAGTCAATTAGATTAATGTAACATGAGCCTCTAATTAAAAGACATATGTAAATACCTCTGACCCATGGTCTTCACCCCCTGTAACTGATATGAGCTTGATTGTGAACCAATCTTAGTCACACAAGTTCCCAAAGCTCTAAAAAACATTCATCACAAAAAATCTGCTGGTCCAGATAACCATAACACTGAGTTAGACACCGCCTCAAGAGATTAATTTTGCCAACTGCTTGCTTCTTTAGCTATACCAACTTCAGCAATGACTGTACGATAGCCATACACAGCAGTCTGCGTCTCCATGCGCACAAACCTCAACCAAAAAGCCACTCTATAGCCACAAATAACACTCAGAACAGCACCTAACTTCATCAACAGTACATATAGCGTCCCAGCCATAGTACTAGACACCAAACATCTTTTTAGCTTTGCCTGATTTCTTTAGCAAAGAGACTAAACACAACTCACCCACTCTCCTCCAGCAGCCACTTGTTTGTGCGGGAGCCCTGATGAGTCGATCACCGAATCCAGAAGAGTTTTGCAGCTGAAGGAAGAACATTTATGATCACTACTTCATAGAAATGCAATCAGACGCAAAGGCAGAAGAACTACTATGTCTGCAGTGCACATACAAGATACTAAAGAGCTCTGATTGCATTTCCATGAAGTAAAAATCATACATTTTCGTCCTAAAGATGCTGAACTCTGCTGCACTTGGTGATCGACTCATCAGGGCCCAGGGCTATGCTGTCTTTGGTTTCAAGGATCCTAAACGGCTCAAAAACTACTTAGCTGGTCGGACTCAGAGTGTCCAAGCAGAGGGCCAGGATTCGGACTTTCTGGAGATCACTCAAGGTGTGCCCCAAGGTTCTATTTTGGCTCCTATTTTATTTCCTATTTTTTTATAAATGATGTAGGTCAAGACATTCAAGCTAAGTAGCATTTAAATGCAGATGATGCAATCATCTTCACCTCTGCAGCACAGATGATTGAAGAACTTCAGGCTGCACTTCAGCTATTTTACAAAACACTTTGAAGGGTCTAAAATTGCTTTTAATTGCCCATAAAACAAAGTTTATTATTTTATCAAAGGTTTGCCTGCAAAGCTTTGACGATGTAAGAATTTCTGTCTGATGGCACATTGATTGAAAGGGTGTCCTTCTACAAATATTTGGGAATATGGGTTCATAAAAAGCTTTCATTGAATGTACATATTTCTAATCTAATTAAAAAACTCAAAGTGAAGATTAGGGTAAGAGTTAGGCCCAGTCTCTCTTGAGATTTGTAATCTTAATGGGACTCCCTGGTTGAATAAAGATTATACATAATTTAAAATTGGTACACAGTAAAAGACCATAAGCATGGTCACTTCATCCACAGAACCGTCAATTTCTCTGTACAAATGTTTGTCCTTTCCCATCATATCAGCAATTATTTTAATGTTATTGTTAAACTTGATGGTACATACACAGTCTTAGCTGTGTATGATATCAGCTAAAGGATGGTCATATGGTCAACATATATTGTTGCCTAATCTCATCTTGGATTTTTATTGTCTCTGAGTCTGCCTATTAATTTTGAAAGCTGTGAAATGTTTGAGATTATTAAGGTTTAAACAACTTCTGACCTGGAGTCCAGTTTGTTTCTCAAACTGAGCCTGACATAGACAGGAGGAGACTGCTGTGGATGTATGGTGTATTTTTCATCATTTTGATTTTTTCTTAATTTATTTCTTATGTTCTTAATTTTTTTTCATGATACTATAAATTATTTAACTTCATTCTTTACTTTGAAATTCCCCAAAATCTTAATTTAATTCATGATATTTGTCAAGTTTTTAAATTAATTAAATGTTTATTTTATGTCTGGTAACTCATTCTTTTAAGATACAAGAGCAGAAAAAGTTACAGTTTTTGAATACAAGACACTAACGTCACATATCTAAAATTTTTCAACTTTTACATTTCTCTCTCAATATTTTCACTCTTGACTTTTTCATCTTTTCTTGACTTTTCTGCCTTTTTTAAATGAGTATTCATGGAGTCACTTACAGGATCTGTGACATTTTCAAGAGAAATATCATTAAGATTTTGATTTGACCCATACTGAATATTTTAAATATCCCTCCTCCATAAAAAGTGATAATTCAGTGCAGAACACATGTTAAAGGGAGGCTAAATGAATGGAAATTTGGTGCAGTAAATAAAAGTTCCAGCAGAACAAAGAGCTGAAATAAAGCGCCCTCTCTTCATTCATTAGCGTGCTGTTGGCTCTGAGGCGTCCATACATTCAGGATGTTAATGCAGGCTGCAGACAGATGTGAATCTAAATAGCACCACACTGTGAGCCCTCACTAAAGCTCACCATGACCCCCACGCTACACTGTGCAAGACAGAGGGCACCAGAGATGGGGGAGAAACCTGGAGAGTGGGTCAGCTTCATGTGTCTCAGTGCGGGTGGAGATTACTGCATTTATCGTAGATTTACTGCAGCCTTGTCTGCAAAATCACACCTGACGCTGCGATGCCAGTCAATGCGCACACACACACAAACACACACACACACCCTCCTCCTCCCTCCCCTCCTGCAACATACCCACACCCACCGCCCCTGATGAGCAACCCCCCTCCCCCCATCTCACCCACAGCATGGTCAGACTGGAGGCTGAAGGGCTGTGAGGTTACAACAGCGAGCGCTGACCACCCAGCACATGGCTAAGCCCTCCTCCTCTGTGTGTTGGTCAGCCTGAGGGTCAAACTCCCTTCATCTATACCAGAGTATGGACGCCATCAACTGTGAGACAAAACAGTCCTCATCCTTCAGTCTGCTGCCATCACTTTGGACTTTAAACTCAGAACAGAAAAAAATATTTAGCTTTCTCAACTTGGGTCATACTTTTTCCTACTCGCTTTTGACTTTAAGTTTAAATAGTGACTCTCAGTCTTGGTTACATCTTTCCAAAATCCAGTAGGGGGCGACTCGATAGACTGTCTTTTTGAACAGACGTCTAGATGTAAACAGTCGTACTTCTCAGTTAGATTATTCCCTTCTCCTTATAAGTTTAAGGTCTAGTGTCATGTTTTCTTCAGCTCAGCATGATGTCCATTTGTTATTCACATTTATTTAGTATCTGCCAGTCTCACTTCTGCTTAGATAAAAACAACCCATGAACTGTGAGCTTGCATTACATTGAAAACCATTTCACAAACCATCTGCAGTTACTCAGATCCAGTGATCTGTTAGCTAAGATGAGTACAAGGATTTGTCTGGTGGACAGTAACTACCAACGCTGTCCATATTTCTCTGCTGAGTCTTTGTCGAAGTGTCAGTTAAAAGGCACACTGAAAGGGCTACGCTGCTAAATGAACAGATTTTAGTCTAATTTTATGACAATAACAGGATGTAAGGATGCTGGAATAACTATGCCAGGATTAGGATTTGCACAAGTCCATATTTATGTTCCTCTCACCCTTATGGGGCGCTCACATGAGGCACGGGTAAAATTATCCACTCGCTCAATTTGCACAAATCGAGACATGTGAATGTATAGTATTTACTCGCTTCATTCCCACGTCAACAGTAATTTCAAAGGTGATCCCTGCCAACTCAACCAGAGTGATAGACAAATGTCTTAGACAATTTACCAGATAATCAGACCTCCTCACTCACCTGCCTCTAGGCCAGCTCCTTTTTATAATTGAAAGAAATTGGAAGAAAATATATCATATAATTCGGGGCACCCACTCACCGACATTGTCAGTTTGTCCTCCTTTTTAGATACCAGTGAACAACCATCCATTTTCATATGTCACCCGGCAACCTTTGTGCTGATTAGTTCTGGAGACGCAAGTATCCACTCAAGTTGAGACATTTATTTATTTATTTATTCACGCCGCCAGATTAGTATAAGCGTCAGATTACGTCTTTGCATTGACTTAACATGTAATATATTTGCACAAATGATTTTACTTGTGCTTAGTGTGTGGAGACAGACACACCCCAAAACCTCAACTTTTGGCATGTTTATTAATCTCCAGTTGAAATTCTCATTGCAGTTAAAGTAAGTTTCATCTTGATGTGATCTCTAGACAGCTCTCTGTTGATAAGCAAAGTGAAGTCCAAAATGCACATACAGATATAAGCTGAGACCCTGGTCACTTTTCCTCACTGAAAGAGGAATCAGCTCAGGTGGTGCTCTAAGGAGGTTTTTGGTTTATTTATTAACAAGCAAGAATTTGATGCATGCAGCACCTCAGAAAATCACATCTGTAAGAAGTGCAGGCTCATTTCCTCCTCAGTGTATGTTTAATGACTCAGTCATTCCTGTCCTTTTGTTGGATTTAAAAGGTCTACAGAGTTTGTAATAGGGGTAGGAGAAAAAAATGGATACAGCAGAGTATCGCGATCATTTGTCTGGTGATGTATTGTATCATCTCATTTACCAAGTATTGAGTTTTCTAATTAATTGTTAATATGAAGTCAAATCTATGATAATGTAAAAATAAAATCAACTGTTTGTCCAGTGACGTTGGCAGATGTGACATCATAGAGCAGGGGAAAGTTAGTGCAACCAACATATATATACGGTTTGTAAGAGGTGCTACATGAAAATAAAATACAGTGTAAATAAGACAAACATAAAGGGATGACAAACGCTAAATTAACTTAACAGTTGAAAATGTGTATAAATCACAATATGTGGTATTGTAATACTCACTGTATTGCAAAATGTTCAAAATCGCAATAATATCGTATCGTGGCCCAAGTACCATGATAATATCATTTTGTGGGGCCACTAGTGATTCCCACCCCTAGTTTGTAACTGAAGAGCATATTCAGCCTCCACCTGCTGTCTATGTGAGGAAATGAAAAGGCAACCAGGACTGTGAAACATAACAGATACGCAGAGGATTATTTACAAAAACGCATGTGCAGGATACAAATGAAACGCACATACAAGATACGTACAAAAATCACGTTCTAGATACTAAATCGCACGAGCGAATTTAAAAAAAAAAAGTTCATGTCAGCCCCCGGATTCTGTACTGAACGGCCCCCAAAATGCATCCTGTGGGTTTTTGGCTTGACTCAACACTGAGATGCTTTCAACACTTCAGAGACACACTGAAATCTGCTGAGTTAGAGGGGTAGGAGATATTGTACTGGATTACATCACCCCTAACTTGATGCTATTTGATCAGTTAATTTATTAACCTAATACTTAATGATTCTACTTTATGTAAAGTTTTATTCATATCAGGGAAAGTTTTCAGGCGCTGAGCGTTGGTTGTATCAGGAAATGGTCTTGTTTAAAAATAGGAGCATGAAGAAAGTACAGAGATGGATGCAAAAAAGAAGACAGACTGTAACGTGGTGTTTTTTTAATAATTAACTCTCCTAACCTGCTGCCAACTTCTTTTAAAATGAAAGTTTCCTGTAGGCTTGAATAAAGAGCTGTGCAGGTTTTACATAATAAGTGTCAGGAATTTCAAAATAAAAGCACTGTGGGAAAACAAAGGGGGGCTCTCAAAGAAAAACAGACCAGACTTTTGCTTTGAAAAGCCAATACAGCCCTCAGTTGATCATTTTTCGGTCTGGTCTGTTTGTGCTGAGACACAGCAAGCAGAAGAAAACCAGCCTCCTGGTCTCTAAATTGTTGGTGTGTGAGATGGACCTCAGACAGGTGTGATTCAGTCAAATTAACTCATGCCATGCGGAAAACATGCTGTCCTGGAGGCATCTCACTGCCATTCATGTGACCCGGTGAAGAGAGAAAGGGCGTCATCACAGGTCTTAAGAAGACCAGCAGGGGTCCTGACTCTGAAGGTGGTCCCATTAAGATTCACTGGTTTATAGCAGTCTGTAACAGGCCTCACTTCCTGGATGACCTTAACCTGTACCTCAGATTCAAGACCAAAAACAAACTGAACATGTGACAAGAATAATCCTGTTTGGTAAGGGTTTGACTTTCTGGACCAGGATCAATCTGAACTAACATTAAAACTTGCTGGATTAATCCTTCAATCTTAACGACTGGGCAAAAACAGACATGTTGGTTCACACACACACACACACACACACACACACACACACACACACACACACACACACACACACACACACACACACACACACACACACTCTCTCCCACACGCAGACACACACATACACACAAAGGTCAGATGGATCTTCCTTCGACACTCTCCAGTCTGTGGCATCTGAGGAATCTTAACAGGTTTTTAACAACCTGAGGAGACAACAAAGACATCAAGATGACACAGAGGGGGCTGTGCTATGTGTTTGTGCATGTGCATGTGCGTGTGTGTAAAGGGCTGTGCGTGAATAGTATAATTGAGTCGCCATGCTCTCTAACAGTACTAATGACTGAGGCTTTTAAGCGTCATCAAATCAACTCAAGCAATGAAGAACCTGCAGAGGAAAAATTTGCTCCTGAATGATAGGAGCTGCTGATTATTAGTGCTGTAAAGGTTCTTGTGCTCAGACTGTAACAGTTTGACCATTGTTGAGGCCCCAGGAAGGTTTTAAAGCCCAATAACACGTAAGTACTCATACTCAAGCCCCCGACTTATCTTCATGTAAAAAGTTAGCTGCACAGAGGCACTTACTTTAAAATAAACTTACAACCAAAAGTGACACAGCCAAACTGCAGCATGGGCACTTTATAATAATAAGAATGCAACACAAAGACTGTGAAGCATATTTTTTTTAGTAGAAAACAGTAAACTCTTGATGCGTTTTGGTCAGTCTGGGTTCCAGAGTGGTATCTGTTGAAAGCGCCATGCTGTCGACCTGTAAAAGGATCCTCTGACGTCACAGCCCGGTTCACACGTGCACATCACGTTTCTAGTGAAATGTTAGAACACGTGTAGTGGGACAATTACAACTCCGTCATGTTCCTGAGAGGTGTGTCGTTATTTAGTTTTATTGTTAACTACTTTCTGGACGTGCATCTCTCATTTTTTAGCTGTCATGTGTCACATAGTACATTCTCACATGATACATACATGTGTACATGTTTAATTTAGGGTGATTCCAGTTGGACTAACATGTTGTTCATGTGTATTTTTAAAGTCTGGTTTCATTCGGACAAATGCAATAAATTTGCCTGGCTTTAAGGTTGTGTTTTTGAACCATAGTCAGGAAAATTCCTGGAGAAGAGTTCCTAAATTTTCTTGAAATGTGTTTTTTTGTAAACAAAGACAACTGCTGCTGCCAGGAGGAAACAGCTATATACCCGCTGATCTTTACAAAATAAACAGTAAAGTCAAATAGTACAGCCCCAGTACTGCTTTCAAGCTAACCTCCCTCAGTCTTATCTGAGGCCATTTGTAGCAGCCATTAGCATTAAAGAGCCCGCTAATCTGTAGCTGCAGGAAAGGAAATTCACTTTCAAAGAGCTGAGGCCTTTCTCTGCCCCCCCCCCCTCCTCCTCCTCCTCCCCTCTCCCTCTTCTGGGCCCAGAGCCT